TTGCCACCACTGGTAGAGCGCGAGACCTTGTTGTTGACGAGGAAAACGACATTGGGAACGGGAATACCCCTGTTCTTCTTGGTTTTGATTGCTGCTGGTTGAGTAGGCATTCACACACCACTGGACGTGTATTAGTGCCTTGTTAGGTCAAAATTAGACAATAGACAACTTACTCATAATTGTGACACGCTCTTTAAAGAGTTCGGTGTAGTTGTGGGCTACCTCGTACGTCAGAAAGGCGATGAATAAGAGAGCAAATATACCCACCCTGCCCCACGTAAGTCGGGTTCTGCTGGATGACATTGTTGAAGCTTTTGCAAGCCTTAGCCTAATGCCGGCTCGCTCTGCTCCATGTATACCATTGCAACTTTGACGGAGCTTGAGCAAACGAAGTGACAAGGTTTATGTTTATACGAGGAAGGTCGCCTACAAGGAACTAAACACAATCAATGTTATCCATGAAGATAGCAATGACTTGGACTTACTTGACTGTCCCCCGTATGCTGGGCGTCCTCTGCCTTACACGCGTTTACAGGTGTGTTGAAAGTTGGTCGTGTTGAAAGCCTTTTGGGGCGTCTTTATCGCCAATTGACGGGTCTTGGAGCGCGGTCAAATGGACGTGAAAACGGGTGAATGTGAGTCGCGGGCATTGTCATTGGACTGCTGAGTGCCTCTGAAAAGCGCGCGCGTTCATGTACTGCGTATTCGCCATGTCGTAGTCAGCTCGTATTTTGGGATTCAGATCCAGCTGCACGGTTGTTGTAACAGGCCTTGGCCATAGCGCGCCGGGCGTCGTTCCTTGGGTTCGAGCGTGTACTCAACAGCGAGTTGGCCGCGTTCCTTGATTAACACGTCGGCCGACACCAAAAAAAGTGCGTCGAAAAGTGTGAGTCGACGTGAAAGGGATGCATGCATTCGAGATGATGGTGACTGCTATGAGTAAGTAGAATTCACCGTTCTCTTGGCTTGAACTGCCGTAACCGTTTGGGACTTCTCGCAACTTGGTTAAACTGAATATAAATATTGCTGCTATGAATCCCTGACACGAATCTACATACTACCGAAATGGACTCTAAGATGATCAACATCACGTCTAGTAAATTTACTGTAAACGTGAATCGAAATCTTCATCCCTTCATCAACCAAAACCTGTAGTGCCTGCTCTGTCTCCAAATGCAACTCGATTGGCAAATAGAAATCACCCTTCTTATGCTTTTCATCCAGCCACTGCGCATAAATCCCAAACCTAAATGTCCGCAACCTTTCCACCCCGGCCGGTCTGCCCTCATTCCACCGCGATTGGAGAGTCTTCACCAGGTCATCCTGCTCTCTGAGGTAGGGGAAATGTACCCTGTTGAGATGCTTCGAGAGGCCAATGGAAAGATGGCATAGTTTGGGAAGGAAAGGTGGGTCTGTGGACTGGACATGAAGCTTGGCGAGAAAAGACATTATCGTCTCTTCGCCCACGGTGTCGTGGATACCGTCGTGGCGGGACATCTTCGCGCGGATATCAAGAGTTGCGAGATTTGTCGTAAGTGACAGAACAGCAATGAGCTCCTCCGATAGCGGTATCTTCTTCAGCTGCAGAGAGGTGATTGTCAACGCGCATGATCGCCATACCAGTTTATGAAGCGAATGAATGATACCACTCAGTTTACCAGCTTCGTAGCTCGATGGTTGGTCAACTTCCAGGTGTAATTCCTCTAGTTGAGGTACCATGAGATGATCCATGAGATGGTCAATGGCGATATCGAGACGTTTCAGAGCGAGTAGAGGCACCATGAACGACTCGTCCTCAATGGCAAATAGTTGATCTTGAGGATAACAAAATTCAACTTGGAGTGTCTGCAGAGACGGACACTGGCGAAGGGCATGAATGTAGGACATCAAATCCCTATCAATATCGCGGGCAATGATCAACGTCGTGATCTGCGCCCACGGCAACTCCATCTCCAAGATCGCAATGTGCCGGACAACCAAAGTCCTCAAGTTGGGACTCTGTACGAACCCGACTGTCTGTACTGGGAATCGAACATGGATATCTAGTCGGTCAAGACGCGGAAAACTCCCGCGCAGATGGCCGAAGTCTAGAGGCCAGATCTCCAACGCGCGCCAGCGCGACGATTGCGTCTGGATGAGGTCAAGGAAATCCCGTACATGAGGATCATCAGAATAGTCATAGTCATTGACAATTTTCACGGCTAGAGGGCGCATTCCTGAACGATGTAGCATCGCTTCCAGAGCGGGAACAGGGGGAAAGGGGGCCTGAGATATGCATGGATAGATGACCAGAGTGGCGGGCAGGATAATGCGACGCGACGCCATTCCCTACAGACGTGCGGTATCATCCAACGAGTTTGCTTCAGATCTACATTGAAGGCGTCGATTCCCCATACGCTCTCGGCGCACGCGTGCTGGAATATTACCATCAGCAGCTCGGGTGGGAAACGGCGAATTGGGGACAGAAGCGACTGAAAGTTGTTCGCGCACTGAACCAGTTGATTCCTCTCCTCTAAGAGAGCGGTCACCGCCGACTGTAACTCTGCCACTCGTGCGATCACTTGATTGGTGTCGTCGTGAATGGCTTGAAGCACGGTATTTCGAACGTAGTCAATCTCGTCCTCTGTCGGTGGCTCATTTGTCGTCCGAAGTCGATGTAGGTGGTGGGTACGGACATAAAGGGACAGACGCGACCGGTAACTGTTTGTGTTGCAATTTGTGCAGTTCATAGCAATGCGTTTTGGGTCTATGTTTTTTATATTGCGTGAATTTGGGAGAGAAGACGCAACAAAGAACTCACCTTGAACGTCGCGGACAAGAAGAGCGGACACGTACACATGACGTCACGGTCACCTACTTTCATGCAGGACCAACAATAGACAGCGAGCAAGTTGGCCTCGACGCCAGCGTATCCGAAACTGACGCTTTTATGCATGGCACTCCCTCTCTAGTGCTGCGTTGACGGCAATAGTTCCTCAAACTGAAGACCTGCACCGTACGGTCCATACTCTTCTTGGCCGGCGGAAAGATGGTGGAAAATGGTAGGAAACATTTCTGTACTTACTTATGTAGCTGTAATCGGTGAAGACAAGCGCGTTAAGGGAAACGTGACTGACGCGTCAGAGATGTCGTATTTACAAGCCCGCTTCTTTTCCTCTTACTTACCACCATCACTGACGCTTCTCATCGCGTTGATCCTGGCATGGAGGACGATAGCCATTCCGACGACAACTTCTCGACGGCGCCAGTAGCGACAGTGGCAGGACCCCAAGCAAATCACTCGCAGATTCGAGTCAATGCCGCTGGTAGAGCTCTGCTGGAAGGTGAGTCCACTGTCAATCTCATACATTTACTACTCAGGCGAGGGACACAGATTTCTTCGAAACCGTGTCCAACCATCCCTCTGTAGCGCAGAAACAGGAACTACTCGTCAAGATGCTGGCCTCGGGCAATAAACACTACAACTTCAAAAAGCTTTCCCGCTGGTTCTCATACACGAGAAAACGGCGTTCTGAGGGTACGTAGTGCAACTTGTCTTACTATCTTGACTGTGACGGAGGTTGTAGGATTTCTCACTGGGCACGCCGTCGAGACGCTCAAGGTCCTCCTTCACAAGAGCCCGCACCCCACCGATGGCCAGATGCGCGCATGGGCGAGTACTGTGGGCGCTCAACTAGCATTTGTTCGCTCTTGGGTGGCGAAGAAGAGCAAGCACTGGCGATCACAGGCAGCACCCGAAACCCCTATAGGCCCCTCTCGCAATTCTTTACCACTTCTTTCACCTGCGCCGGTGCTGCAGGACTCTACTAATATACCGGGTACGCTGCCTCTTTGTTGAACGACTTCGCGAACTGAGTTTCTGTGTAGTAATGAATAACCTTGAGCTTTTGTTTCGTGGAACACCTTATCCGACAGACGATACTCTCAAGACGTGGGCACATCATCTCGGCCTGACTTTCGAATTCGTTCGCGATTGGGTACACGCGCAAAGGATTTCGTTAGACTCTCGAGAGCTCCCTCATGATTATCAAGCCAAAGATCGCGGACCTGTGCAGGATCATACACCCTTGACCAAACCGTACAGACCCTTCTTCACGAAAACGGACGTATCGGTACTGAACGAACCTTTCCCTCTTCCACCCGCTTTCGTACCCCCGAAGGCTCTTCCACCGCGCCTGATCCTAGTACGTTGTCTGCTTCTAATCCGGGTTTTTCGACTCACGAGATGTATCTGAAGAAGCTGAAACCCGTTGATCAAAATAGACGTCTCTTATTCGACATTGCTGAAAGAATGGATCTTGACGACCCGCCTACGACCTATGCTAACGCTGCTGAACTTGGATCCTGCGATCTCGATCAACCACCATCAGAACTACAGCCATTGCTGAGGAAGTTGGCATTAAGAGTTATTCAGAGCCAGGAAGCAAGCCCGATGACAATGACCCGTGAACTGTTTTTGAGTAGCTTTAGACCCATAGAGACCAAGATGATGCGCTTCATGGATCAAGTGCGCCAGGGCGCGCTGGAGAATGAAGGCTACCATAATGGTAGGTTTTCTATCGATGTTTCTCCGCACTGCCGGGTATTGACTCGTTCACTTTGCAGCGTTCATTCCCGAACGATTTCAAGTTGCCGCCGCTTTGTGACCAAGTTTGGACTCACCATTCGTCTTGCTATCTGTCGCTGTTGTGTAATCGCTTTCGCTTTCTCTAGTCACCTCCGCTTGTAAATCATCCACCACGTTGAATGACCATGATGCATGAATATCCAACTTTGGGAGTCTTCGCAATTCTGGACCGTACACCGTAGTCTGTTACGGATTGAATTGCTAAAGCGGCATCGATGAAGAACATCAGGACGGACGACTAGCCTCTAGAAATAGCTATGGAATGTTTCTCATCGCAATCATCATCCCAAGTACTCATGAATATGGCGCAAGTACTGTGTAAGTTTATCAATCGAGCAGGATCTTCAACGAAAGCGCACTGCTTCTCACCATCGGCCGACTAGCTCAGCTGGTTAGAGCGTCGTGCTAATACTCTTTGAGTCTTGACGCGAAGGTCTTGGGTTCGATCCCCACGTTGGCCACATCGTAGGGCATGCGTTCCTTCATTTTGGTTTTCCTCTCTATTCCTTTGTGAACACTGGGCACTGGACTAGGGTGGCTCAGTAAACCTCCCGGGGGTGTTAGTAACGGTATCGATACCGAGCCCCCAGGAGACTCAGGTGTTAAAACCGTTACTAACGGTTTCGATACCGGCACGTGCTTCGGACACGTGATGTGGCGCCGCGCCGCGCCGCCTTCATCCCGCCATCTCCAAGCTCTCTGAGCGCCAGCGCGCCGGCACGTGAGATAGTCACGTGCCGGTATCGCAACCTACCTCTCGACCGCCGAGGGTTTCAATACCACATCGATACCGTTAATTACCGCAGTAAACCCGAGGTGTATCAAAACCTAGAGTTTACTTCACCACCCTACACTGGACAGTCTGGACTGGCAGGGTCACGGCGCAAGCAAGGCTCAAGCTTCCGAGGACCGAGTGTATCGCCTGACGCCACTGTGACTCTACTTTTCCCTGCTTTTGCACCACAACGAATCTCAGAGTCACGCAATCGTACTGAGAGCGTCTATATCGCCACTCTCAAAGTAAACTGGAGGACATGATTTACAAAAATTGCACTCCGCCGTCACTACGGAGTACACCAATCAGGTTTGAGACAAACACACGAAGAGCCACGTTGAACGTCCGTCCAAGTAGTACCAAGAGAATGTAGAAAGGATGAGTCGAGCAATGTCTTGGAGAAGGTAAACAGTCAAGAAAGTAATAGTCGAGTGGTGTAGTTTTACGTATGTTAAGTATCGGTTATTGGCGTGCTTCAAAGAGTTTCCATTCATGGTGAAGGTCAGAGATACATGAGTAGGCCTACAAAACATTAAAAAGCACGCGATATTCATCGAGGAGGAAGGAATGAAACCAACGTATTCGGATTCGTAGAGTCCTGACTTCCTCACTTCAAGGGTCTCCGCCTAATACTTCTCCTCGTCCATGCTAGTGACCTTATACTGGCGATTATCGAATTGAGCACAGCTGCCAATGTCCGTCTCGGTAAATCTGGAGTGTGTAAGTTCATCTTCAACTTGCTCAGAAGTGACACCTTACCAATACTAAAGACAGGACCGGATATCATACAAACCCTTTCGCGGCGAAATACTTGCGATGCTTCACCTCTTCGCCGGTGCGCCCCTCGCCAACGTAAAGCCATCCGCCAAAGTGATACCCTGATACCTGCTCGCTTTTGGATGTCCGTTTGGACAGGCACTCGAGGTGTGGTAGACGCCGATTCTGCGGCACTTGAAGCACCCATCGTGCGCGCAGATCCATTTGCGCTCGCTCTCTGTGAGCTTGAAGAGGCCGTCGCTGCGATACGGTGTTGAGGAAAAAGGACGCGAGTAATGATCACCGCGTCCAAGAGGAAAATGGGGATACTTGGGAACTAGGGCAGGAGAATGGGAGCGACGATGAGGGGATGCTGGCGAAATGGAATCACGCTGTGGAACGTAGTGATCGCCCACAATGGACAGACGGGCGCGTTTTGAGCTGCTCTCCTCCGAATCTCCCAGTGGTCTTTTCTGTCCCGCCATCGTCTTTCCATCCTCCAGCGCGCGTATCGCCTCGCACCAAGCATCCAAGTCATTTTCCATCTGCAACGTCTCGTCCTTGGAGCACATATCGACGAGCGCCTTGTTCAGGTGCGTTTTCAAATGCACAAGTAGTTTAGTGTCGCTTAGGTGGTTCTTCGTTCCCTTCAAAAGGACATTCTGCGCGCGCAGTTTCGACGTCCATTGCACAACGGGCTCGTCCCAGCCTTGTAGCGATGTCAGTAGTATGGATTGCTCGATGTCGTCGGCCCAATAGCGCGGAAGGAATTTGGCGCGTAGAGCAGCGATGAATCGGGGTAGAGACAGTGTCCTCAGGTGCTGTCGGTCGTCGTAGTACCACTGGTAGACGAGTGGGTCGCGCAGACCAGATGCGAGAGTCGAAACGATTTTTGATTGAGCAACATCGTGCGTTTCCATATAGTTGGAGGCGAGAAATTCGTACAGGTTGAGATCGCCAGGCGTGAGAGGCTTGTAGTTATTGCAGGAGTTTATCAATGGCAGGAGCGTACGCGACACGCCAATACGGGGCTCTATTATGCTGTCTTCTGCAGTCATTGTAATTTGGACTTGGAAATCGTCAGTTTGTGAGAACTGTGAGGGCGGAAACATACCAGAACGGAATACGAGACGACTGGAAGAGACTAAGTAGCCGACTGAAGGCGGAGATCCAATCTTTGACTGCCTTCTTTCGGAATTTGCCAGGCTGTTAATGGCACTAGATCGGGAAGAACTTACGCCACGTTTGTAATGAAGCGACAATGAGCTTGCGGAGACTGGTAGTCCTGTGGTAGTCAGTATAAGAGCATAATCTAGATAGAAAAGGTCATAACATTAGTCCTGGGTATCTGATCTAAATAAGTTTCCAACGTCCCATATGTATCCTCGATAGCAATAAAAGAAAACGATAAGTAGCAAATGATAGCAGAAAAATGGATATAAATGAACAATATTCAGGCTTTAAGCCCCGATGCAAAGCACACACTCCCAAGATACTTTACCACAACGCTCGTCCATCAGGATCCTCGAGTGTCCAACCTTGCTTAGCGAGTACGTGTCGACCGTACTGGCGGGCATACTCAGCAGCCTGGTTCATCCCCATCAGGTCCTTCACATTCCTCCAACTCGTCAACCTGACGGCGACCAGGCTCATCGCACCCATGCATTGCAGAACCCTAAACAGGCCACGAAGCTGACCGCCGCCCAACGCAGCACCGCACTTCGACGCACAAATTCCGAGCAACATTACAGAATCGGGGAGGGTGAGGGAATCATTGGGCGGTTCCCAACACGCGTTCTGGGGCTGGCGGGTGGGAACGAGCATGAGCGTCTCAAGGCAAGGACAATGCTGATTGACTAGAGAGAAGATAGTCTGGACATGGTGACCGTAGTAAAAGTCGCAACAGAGTATGATTGTCGAGAGCTGGCCGGTATATGCTACCAAGGTCGGCGTCATCACATTCCTGTGAAATTCTGCATTGTCCGCTACGTCCGCGTCGTATACCCAGGTCTGCAAAGAGCATAACTTTGGAATAGGAACGGAAAGTTCTGCGTTGGCGACATCGGAAGGCGAAATGTGTAAGTGGAGATAGGTCAGGGAGGACGAAGCAGCAGCGGATGTGAGCGTGTCGAGGTCAGAGGTAATCCTTGGTTGTACAAATGTCGTAGTAAAGGAATGGAGGTTCTTCAAGGAGTCGAAAATCATCGACCAAAACCCGTATGGCAGAATGGCGACATAGTCCGTGGTTTCCAATACCTCGAGGCCCAAGCAAGACGTGCACAGCGCGTCAATCACATGCGTTTCAACAAAGGTGAGAGACGGTTTTGTTGTAGTGAGGCGTAGATAGCGCAGGTTTGGAAGGCAGCGTAAAATGCGCGCTAATACAGTTTGGTCGCGGGTTTCGTCTAATACGTCGCACGGGATGACCAAGGCCTGCGTGAACCATCCAAGCGGGGTGGCCGCGTCATCGCGCTCCCGCGATGTTTCGAGTGTACGCAGAACAAATGGGATGTGGTCCCAGTCGGAAACGGAGATAGAATCGTAGAGAAACCGCATAGACGCGGCTTTCCATGCCTTGCAGACCAAGGCCAGTCGATATCTGGTGTTCTAGAGCAAAATATTGGCCGGTTTGCAGCAAAGTGCATTCTGCAACTTACAAGATATACGCGAGTGTCGGAAGGATTCAAAAGCCAGTCGCGCCCATGGTACAGGTCGAGCGAAATGTACGTTGCGAAGGCGAAAATAATCTGCCAAATTTCGACTGGAAGATCAGGTAGTATAGCAACGTCTCTGCGTTTGTTTCTATGAAAAGTGCTGGCAGATCTGTGCGAAACGTTAAGAATCCATAGTGCATGAAACATGTATTTCACGTACATTCGAATGTTAAGTTTATTGGAGGAGGTTCGAATTCGCTTGATTAGCTGCATGTTATGCGCTAGAACCGTAACGACAGAAGGAAGAATTATTGATGGCCTTGATGTGTGTTGTACATGGATGTGGTCTGGAGTAAGGTGCCTATAACGTCACGGGACCTGAACGCGCTCTTGGCTTCTTCCCACCACGACGTTCAAGGTGAGTCGCGTATTGCGCTCTCTGTCCCGCAGTTGAACTAACAGCTTTGAGATTGGCCCTATGGAGTGCCCAAAATCCTGCGCGTCTGCCTACCGGTCTCGCCTTGACGAATACGACTCCCTTTATTCCCAAACCCACCACCTGCATAGACTTCGAACGACAAACGAGCCACCGTCAGAGGTCGAGATCAACTACGTTCAGAACAGCGTGCTTCGAGCAATTCAAGACGACATGGACAATATGGACGCACGATTGGCAGAGCTACAGTCTGCGGCTGAAACTCTCACGCAGGAAAGGCATAAACTCACTCAGTACGGGAAGGACTTCAAGTCGCTTCTGAACCCACTCCGCCGTCTTCCGCCCGAGCTGCTGATGGAGATATTCCAGCACGCGTGTGCCAGCGACGCATGGGTCGACACCTTCTCTCTCAAAGAAACTCATTGGGTTATACCTCGCGTCTGCAGGGAATGGCGGGCAATCGCATTATCCTGCCCTCCTCTCTGGTCATCCATCGATGTAGTGCTGCAATCAGACTTTCCTAACACTTCAGCCCTCGATGCAGTCCTCTCTCGTTCAGGCACAAATCCTCTACATGTCAGAATTCTCGTCGGTAACGACGATTATGAGGATCCTCATATCCGAGATTCGATGGCGCGCCTCCGTGCGCATTCGTCTCGTTGGCGCAGCCTAGAAACAACCCTTGAGAACGATGCCGCCGAACTGACATTCGACATCTTGCACGACAGCTATCCTCTTCTCGATCGACTAGACATCTTTGTCGAAAGATCCTTTTCCTACACGTCTCCTGATCTGCAGAAAATCAGATCCTCGCAGTATCCCATTTTGCGAACTGTGAGC